GAAAATTTCAATTATTTTACATTGCCATTAAATAGAAAATCAGTACCAAAAAGTATTATGTCCTAAAGCAGTGAGAAGTCCCTCATGTCGCATACCCATGTCCATATTCTTAATCAAAGAGCACATGCTCAGAAACTTACAACCATATCCATGCCTTCCTGGAAAACCATTGGTGCCAGTGCCAGGAAGACAGAACTTTGGGTAATGGTGTCCATTGTTTAAGTCCACATACAAGCAGATCCACAACTATTTAAGATGTTTTAGGTAGAAGAAAAGATGATCAATGATGACTGCCCCATTCACTGAGGCCCCTACCTGCCTGTAGAAGATATATAATCCTCCACAGTTCCCTATTATCTCACTTGTCCATGTTTCCTTACCTTCAACACCTTTATTTTGTTAGAAACCAAAGCTTTCTCATTGAATCATCACTCTTTTCCCACAAAAACATAATCACCAGGAGTGCAAGAACTTTTTTATTTCATGCCTATATACCACAGCCTAGTGTGACTTGAATAGGGGCCAATCTGGATTTCCTTGGCTCTTGAATGAATTAAAAGTGATCACTTTTTACACCATATTTTATAACTTCTCTTCTTGTGCTAAATTTGGTATGTTTTCCATTTAAACTGCCTGGCCTGAGCAGGATGTTGAAAATTAACATCAAGATCATACTATTGCCCTGGCCAGGTAGGTCAATTGATTAGAGTGTCATTGGCAAAAACCAAGGTTGCAGGTTCAGTCTTGGGCCAGGGCACACACAGGAATCAATCAATGAATGCATAAATATGTGGAATAACTCACTGGTTTTTCTCTCTTCCTCTCTCCTTTTTTGTTCTTTTTTTTTTTTGTTCTCTCCTTTTTTGTTCTTCCTCTCTCTTCTAATTTTGTTCTTTTCCTCACCCAAGTATATTTTTATCTCTGATTGTTGAACAGATTGGAAGGAGCGGAGGTTAACGTGCCTGAGAGAAACATCAATGTGAGATACCGATTAGAAGCCTCCTGTACTTGCCCCAACTGGGGACAGGGATGTAAGGCGCAACCAAGGTATGTACCCTTGACCAAGAATTGAACCTGCAAATATCCAGTCCTCAGGCCAACACTCTAAACATTGACCCACACCAGGAAGGGCTCTCTCTAAAATTAATATTAAAAAAAATATATCATACTCTCAGTAGGAATGGCTTCATTATAAGAGATGCTAACATTTTTTCTTGCTAGGTTTGTGTTCTTTGATAATATTCCTAAATTTATAAACCTTAGGTAACTCATAAAGGAGATAACAAGTCTCATATATCTTGTTAAGAAGCATGTGATTTTATATATATTTCACTAAGGTACTTTTTGGAAATGCATCCAATACATTACAATACATATTTCAGTATTTAGATAAGCAAGGCAAGCTATTCCAGACACCTGTTTGCTAGCCTTGCACTCCTGCCAGCCCTAGATATACCTTGTTGAAAACAGAGGGTCACACATGTCCATCATCACACAAAGCCACGCCATGACCACGATGAATCAAGACAAAGGCATTGATGTCTGTATATTTGATGAAAGAGAACAGGTTTCCAAAGAATAAAAATAACAAAAACTCCCCTTTTCTCACTAATATGATTTGTGCTTCTTACAATTTAGGTTTGGCAAATCATATATTCTGTGCTCTATATAAAAATGGTATCATTACCCGAGATAGAATTAAGTTCATTCCCTCACAAAATGCAGCGCAGGAAAATGTCTTGTTTTCCTGAATGGCAATCAAATCAACTATCACAAAGGAAGTGAAAGAAATCCGTTTAAGTGTGCTGTTACTGCTACATCCCAGTCATTTTTGGTTTGTGGTCATTCTTTTTTACAAAATTCTCACAGAGGATGTTTATTGATTTTCTTCTCTTTTTTTGTACAGTAGAACCTCAGCTCTCAAACTTAATTTGTTCAGGAAGGCTGTTTGAGAAGGAATTTGTGTGAAAACCGAATCACTTTCCCCCCATTAGAAATCATGTCAATTGAATTAATCTGTTTCAGACACCAAAAATGATTCCATTAAAACCTTTCTTATATACTGCACATGTCTAATCTATAAACACTTCTTTTCTTCAATTTCTTAAACCACCCCC